TAATTGCATTTTTTATAATTCAAATTAACAAAATTCAAATTCAGATTGTTTTGCCATACTATCAGCTCCATACTTTTCTGTTTTTTATTCACGTCTTTGACATCTCATCAATCTGTACCCATTTCACCTTGAAACTGGAAACTGCATGCAGTTTTACAGGTGAAGCTTTTTCCTTTAGTTCCCTGAAGCACCCTACCATCGAGTCAGACGGAAAAGTGCCCTGGCCCAGAGGTGGGAGGCTGGAATCTTTGCCAATCATCAGGAACAAGACTGAGCAACTTGCCTAAATGAAGCATCAAAGCACAAATCCAATTTCCATTATATCCAGTATAAGCATGTACAAATAGTTTTAAGGTAAAAAGTTAATACAGATCTGGAACTATATAATAGGTGAGTACAAAAATATTCCCACATAAAGTAATACCTTTTTTTTAAATATTTGGGCTGCAAATAATATACTAATTTTGAATCCTGGGTACATTTTTATATTACTGCAGATGAAAAATGTATACAATAATATATTGCTAAATTGCACTGTGTACAAAAAAATCTTGGCAAACCTTGAGAAATGTATTTATTATTTTAATTTCGCACTGCATACATCATTAACAACAATATTTTGAGTTTTAGATTAACAAATCAGTTCCTTCTTTAAAAGATATTTTGTCACTTCAAAAATTACATTTAAATTTGTTTTAACTTGATCAAAAGTGCAATTCAAAGGGATATTTCACCCAAAAAAAAAAAAAAAAAAAAAAAATATATATATATATATATATATATATATATATATATATATATATATATATATAGTTGAAGTCAGAATTGTTAGCCCCCCTTTTGAATTTTTTTTCCGAATGATGTTTAACAGAACAACGAAATTTTCACAGTATGTCTGATAATATTTTTTCTTCTGGAGAAAGTCTTATTTGTTTTATTTTGGCGAGAATAAAAGCAGTTTTTAATTTTTAAACCATTGTAAGGTTAAAAGTTTTAGCCTTTTTAAGCTATATATCTTTTTGATAGTCTACAGAACAAACCATAGTTATACAATAACCTGCCTAGTTAACCTAATTAACCTAGCTAAGCCTTTAAATGTCACTTTAAGCTGTAGAAGTGTCTTAAAAAATATCTAGTAAAATATTATTTACTGTCATCATGGCAAAGACAAAATAAACCGGTTATTAGAAATGAGTTATTAAAACTATTATGTTTAGAAATGTGTAAAACAAAATAATAATAAAATCTTCTCTCTGTTAAACAGAAATTGGGGGGGGGGGGGGGATAAACGGGCTAATAATTCATAGGAGCTAATAATTCTGACTTTAACTGTATATAATTCTGACATCATTTACCCACACTTCACTTGTTCAAAACCTATTTGACTTTCTTTCTTCTGTTGAGCTCAAAATAAGATATTTTGAAACATGTTGGTAGCTGGCGCCTATTGGATTGGTGCCACAAACCAGCATTCTTCAAAATATCTTCTTTCATGTTCAACAGAAGAAAGAAACATAAAGGTTTAAAACCACATGAGGGAGAATAAATGATGAGGCTATTGTCATTTCTGGGTGAACTAACCCTTTAAGACCAGAGAAAGCCATTGCTATGAGTGTGTAAAAGAGTATGTTATGTAGCTTCCAGAGGTTTTACAAGTAGCTGTCTTCTGTACCATTATTACATCGTGAGCCTTTCAAATATGTTATGTTTTGATTGCCTACATACATTGTGAACATTTATTCTTGTGTGACAGTAATAATTTAAAATAGATGTGAATTTGCATATTGCATCTTAATAGAAATGTTTCTTCCTTGCAGGATGCTTTCAATGCAAAAAAAATTTTCAAACCTTAAAATTCAATAAAATGAAAAGATATTGACATTGAATCGTATGACTGTATGACTAAATCAAAGCTGATGTCCAGAAAAGCTGCCATATGATTCATTCCTTGGCTATATGTTCCCGATGGCAGCGAGCAGTGAGATACAGAATGCTGAGTTTCCAAGCACAAAAATGGCAAGGACAGACAATCTAAACTTAGTATCCTGTGGAAGCAGAAAGAATGGCATTTGGTTAGAAAAAACAGTAAGTTCTTTTAGAGTTTTATAATTGTGCTGGTGAGTGTTTTGTGTTGATATCTGATTAAACTAATTTGTTTTGCTGTTAATATTAAAGGGTTAGTTCACCCAAAAATGAAAATTGTGCTATTAATTACTCACTACTAACCCCCTGAAACCTTCTTTCATCTTTGAAACACAAAATTAAAAGTACATCTAGGCAACTGATATAAGACTGAAGGGTTTAATTCTTTAAAACAACTGCCTTGATGAAATTTATCCCACTTTTTACATGGCTACTTGCCACAGCATGTATTAAATTAGACACAAAACTTTGTTCTGAGCCTTAATAGTTCACTCACTCTCCTTCAGCTTAGTCTCTGCTTTATCAGGGGTCACTGCAGCAGAATGCACAGTCAATTCCTCTGGCCTGTGTTTTACTGGCAGATGTCCTTACTGCAGCAAACCCACACACGTTCTTATTACAGTTTTTTACAATCGTTTGCCACAAATTTTAGAACTCTGGAGTCAATTTTCAAAACTCTAGACACAAAATTCACAACCTTTGCCAAAATTGCACATTTTTGCAAAACTCTTAACTCTTTTTTTAAATGCTTGGATACAATATACATAAGTCAAAGATACTGTGTTCACTGAACTAAGATCACCTTTTCAATATAACACAAACATCAAGTTGATCCTGTTTCAAATTGCAACTCAAACATTACATTTTAAATAAATGCGTATTCATTTACTGAACATGATGTTATTATTAACTGATACAAGCACTCTGATAAATAACTGTTGCATTACTCTTGATGCATGGAAACTGATGTACAATATTACATGTTTAGATTATAAAAGTTTCAGGATAGATCAAATGACATCAGTTACCACAAAAGATGACTCAACTGGACTACATTATCTATCTGATTGCATCTTTATTCATCCTTATTCTATATTTATGGTTTCTTTGTTTCATGTACCACTTTTACAGACAATGTTTTCATATTTGGCATCACTGTACTGTATGAAATGTATGTAAGAAAGCCCAATTACAGCAGACCAATGTCAGGCCTGGATTCACATTGACAGAAGGTTCTTTCCAAGATTTTTAAGTAGTGAAAACACCACTGTGATGTAGAGGAAAACCTGTGACCAAATCCACAAGACCAGACTGATGGAAACACAGATCCCAAAATAGAAATCTGATATATAGAAATATATGCAAATGACATATGTGACATAATAGTTCATATGAATTTTACATATATAAAAGATGTTATACATGTCAAAATATTGCCATTTTTTCAACTATTAGAATTACAAATATGTACATATATGTTTCGTAAATATATTATCTATTATGTTACATATATTTACCTCTACAAATATATCACCTATATTTGTATAGGTGTCCATAAGGCTGTATACAGACACACACACACACACACACACACACACACACACACACACGTATGATATGGTTGAAAAAATATCATTTTATATACATTTTATATTTTATTTACAGTATGTTGAATCCAATTGTAATTTGCATTTGTTGTCATATATCATGCCATATATCAGCTTTCTATATGGGGACGTGAATTGAGAAAAACATTACAGTAAACCTACATTATGATGAAATGAATAAAACTAGTTCAGTGTATCCACTGTCTGCTCCGTCCCCTCTACATTTAAGTATAAACCATAATGAAAGCTGCATCATTTATTTTAAACAGCAATATTTAATGATTGTTAAAGATTGTTTATTGAAACGATGTGCATCTTGTGTGCTGGTGATCTAAAGTTGTGTTCTTGTAGTATTTGTATGATAACACGATTATGTGAACCAATGATCCTGCAAATGCAAGACTTCTTTAAAGAAATGAATGCAGCATGCAGAGTTCTGAACACTTGAGAGTCGGTGTTAAAACTAGTGAGTGTTTAGAGTTTTGTGTCTAGAGTTTTGAAAATTGACATCTGAAATCTGGTTCTGAAATCTGTGGCAAAACAATTGAAAAAAACTGTAATACACTATAGCTAATTCATTTAGCCCAATTCACCTATACCACGTGTCTTTGCAGGGGCGGACTGGCCATCTGGCAATTCTGGCAAATGCCAGAAGGGCCGGACCATTTTTTAAATGTGGGCCGGTCACCTATTTTATTTATTTATTTTTTCATATGTATTGTTTTTTAAATGTTGGCAGCTTTTATCTTGTGCGAGATGTGAATATTATGATGATGATGGTGATAATGGTAGGAATAATAGTAAATGTTAAGCATTGGCCCAACTGGCAACAACCGGCTGGTTTCGAGATGGGCCGACCCAATCTGAGGCTACTCAGATGTAATCAAAATCTGGCAAGAATGTCAAACAAACAGTAAGTGCAAAAAAAAGAAAAAAAGAATATGGTCTCGAAAGGGGTCAGTGTAATGGTAGGTAGTGCTGTCGCCTCAGAGCAAGTAAGTCACTGGTTTGAGCCTTATCTGGGTCAGTTGGTGTTTCTGTGTGGAGTTTGCATGTTTGCGTGGATTTCCTTCTGGTTTCCTTCACAAGCCCAAACACATGCTATGGGTGAATTTGGTAGGCCAATTGTGAATTGGGTAACCCAGTATAATGGGTTGCAGCTTTGAGGGCATCCGCTGTGTAAAACATATGCTGGATAAGTTGCTGATTCCCAGATTAATAAAGGGACTAAGCCGAAAAGAAAATGAATGACATGATTGCATATATAAATGGGTTGCTTTTGTTCCAGTCACATACATTAAATGTTTAAATATCTCTTAAATAGGTACTGCTTATATAATTTTACCATCTGTACACCAATATAAGTAGTAAATGTGCGTGTCCTTGGGTGGGGCTGTGTCAATGTGGTAATGTGGGCTGGTGTGGCTACAGTGCCAGGGCTGATTTTTAGTCCCAGTCCGCCCCTGTGTCTTTGGATTTAATTAATTTGTGTTCTGAAGATGAATCCAGGCCTCGGGGTTTGAAACAACTTGATAGTGGGTAATTATTAACATACTGTAATTTGGGGGTGAACTAACCCTTTAATATTGATGTTTGTTATAATCTCCGCCTTTATGTTGGAGTACAGTGTGACTTACCCAGTTTACATTTTTTGCAAAGTCAGAGAGAACTGGAAATCTATCTTCATCGCCACTACCTGCTAGAACAGGAACTATTACTAAACATGTACCGTTACATTATTTTCATAAATATATTTAGGCTCTTCTTTTGCTATTATTTTTCAACTACAGGCAAAGGGAAAGTTAATCAAGTTTCAAATTAATCAGATGTAAATGAATGAATAACTCTTAAGTGTTAAACAAATGACATTAATTTAAAAGACACAGACACATGCTTTTAAATGTATTAAACATTAGTTATACAAACCTTTTCTAATAACACCATGCTTATGAAGTTGCAAAACCAGCTTTAACACAATTGTCCAAACCACAAAAGCAGAGAGAATCCCTGTGGTCCACGGATATGGCAGTAAAAGAGACTGTTGCTTTATTCCCAAGAATATGGAACCCACTGAAATCACAATTTAATGAAGTGACATTTTAAAAAGATTTATTTTTTAAATGTTTTGACTGCTGTATTACTAATATAAATGGTTATAAGCTTTTTAAGTGAACTTCACCAGCAATAATTTCAGCAGCATTTCCAACACCCCAGTGCAGCCAGTTGAATATCCACCTCCTGAAAGAATGAAATGCTTATCCTGAGAGTTATTGTAAGATATGCGAGCAGAAGTTGTACATTTAAATTCATCACCTTGGGGAGTCTGGAGCTGGTCTGAATGCAGCCATTAAAGGCTGACAGAAAGCCAGGATCATAACAGTGCAGCCCAGGTACGGATGAGCACCCGCTCTCTAAACAGAACGAGTGAGCTTATTGTTATTTTTAATGACAAAAACCTGTCTTTAACTGAATGGAAGTTGAAATTATGTAAAATATAAATATTAGGTTTTAAAGAATGCAATGAAATGATCATAGGCACTTAAAGCATTTAAAGCAACACAACATAAGCAAAAAGAAAATTAATATAAACACTGAAATACAAAAATATATATATAATATATTAAAATGAAAATATTAGCTATTATATAAAAGTGAAAAATATAATTAGAAGTCAATTCCCAGAACCAGAACATAAGCACAAATTAGACTACACCACACTAACACACATTGGCTGCGTTTTACCCCACTGTTAGCATGCATCCTAACCACTTTTCCTTGAGGGAATCCCCGCCACCACTTTAAAGTGTGTTTTACTTTGTCAACTGTACAAAAGAAGTTTACATGGACACCCTCAACGCTTGGATTTTTGACCAACAGCTAAATGTCCCAGAATGCAATGCGATTGTGATGTTGCAACATTGTAATTTGCCAGTGCTCAAGGGTTTAGGGGATTCCACTAAAATCCATTCAGATGTTGTGCCAGTAGTGTACACTTGTGTAACGTAATCAATGATGTACATCTGAGTCAACCAGAAACAGGGAAGCTAGCGAGTGAAGGGCATAAAAATTGGACTGGTGTGCAGCCATTATCTCTGATCAGCCAATTGGTCTGGAAAAAAAGATCTGTGGCCCTTTACTGGCAATGCGTGAAATTGCCATGTAAAGAATTTATTTTTAGTTTTATAAAATTTATAAAAATAGTTTTATAAATTTTATAATTTAGTTTTAGGGAAGCATTATATTTAATTGCAAATTAAAATAAAGGTTTTACTCACTGTGCTCCATTTTCCTCTGTAGATAAAGGGGACAATGAAGCCCACAGATGTGAGTAAAACTGTAAGGGACATCAACATTCTGTGGACCTGTAAACAGAGAAATTATTTGTATTAATTTTAAATATACAGCTATGGAAAGTGGAATGTGCACATTAATGAAAAGTATATTATTATTATTATTATTATTATTATTATACTACTACTAATAATAATAATATATTATTATTATTATTATTATTATTATTATTATTACTATTATTGAAGCATTATCATATTGTATTTAAAAACATGCTGAAATTAAACGTACCTGAAACCATATTTTTTGTCCAAACAGTGTTTGTTCAGGCCAGTCAGGTTTAAAATAGCCCGCCATTAAAGTCCCAGTGCTTCCTGCTAGCATCCAGGCAATCAGCATTAAAGCTCCTGCATTTAAATTTGAAAATTAAAGGATTTGAAGTTCTTCTTTTATTCTAATTTGTAAGTTACTTTGAATACTAGTTAATATAATGTAAATGCATGTATAAATGTAAGTTGAAGTGGGCCTTGTCAAGTATGGGTTTTACTCAAACTTGAAAATTGGTCTTCTGCGTTTAACCCATCCACGCACACATAGACATTTTGAGTGAAAGCAGCTACTTATTAGATCGCCTTGAGAACAATTAAAGCTCAAATGCCTTGCTCAAGCGCATTGAAAAAAAAGATTTTTGCTAAATTGTTGCAAACTATTTATACCGGTTAAATTTAAACATACATAGACAAGGCAAGGCAAGGCAAGTTTATTTATATAACACATTTCATACACAGTGGCAATTCAAAGTGCTTTACATAAACAAGAATAAAAAAAACAAGTAAAATAAAAATAAAAACAAATAATAAAAATGAGTAAAAACAAAAAACATATTACAACTTAATTTGCTTGTTTAAATTCAACCCAAATAAACAGTTTATATATTTTTTTAAATAGTCATCTTTGAATAATTTTTTTCTAGTGCGACTGGGTATTGACAATGGAAATGAACCTGCAATTCACCTGTCCAACTCACTGGCACCACAACTGCCCCTCTTGATGATGGTCTCAAACATTTTGCACAAATTTCTTGTGCCCCAAGATAATTTGATTAAAGCGACAAATTTAGGTGGATTGAACATGAAACAATTATGTTGTCTCTAAAAAAAACTCAAGAATTGTGTTGTTTTAGCTCATTTTAAACTAAATATCTTGAACAAGCGGCAAACGTATTTTTGAGTGTGTGTTGTGGTTTATCTCAATGCCAATTTTAAGTAGCTGTTTCTGAATGTGTGTCTGAATGTAGCGCTCAGAAAAAAAAGAAAAAAAGAAATATTATATAATATAATATATATATATATATATATATATACACTCAAAGCACTTTACACATTAGGAGGAATCTCCTCATCCACCACCAGTGTGCAGCATCCATTTGGATGACACGACGGGAGCCATATTGCTCCAGACAGCACACCACAGACCAGCATATTGGTGGAGAGGAGACAGAGTAATGAAGCTAATTATGATCTGGGGGTGGTTAGGAGGCCATGATGGACAGAGGCATCTTGCATTTGCATTGGGCAAATTTGGCCAGGATGCCAAGGTTAAACCTCTACTCTTTTTTGAAGGACATCTTTTTAATGACCACAGAGAGTCAGTTCCTCAGTTTAACATAACGTCCAAAAGATGGCACTCACTGAGCAGTATAAAGTCCCCTTCACCATACTGGGGCGTTAGGACTGTTGTAAACTTCTAAGAGCCCCCCAAAAAAAAACAGGCAGAACTTTCGGTTGTCTTCATAGCAGAATCCTTTTAATAAGAAGAACTCAGCGTGGCTGTGGCATCATCGAAAGATGCACAGCAAACACTATACATTTATACATTTTACAGACAGTTATTCATATAGGTGGGGTCAGATGCAAATGAAGTGTTGTAGTCGGCAGGGTAAACTGCTTTTTTAGGCCTGGTCTCATCATGTTCTGGAGACCGAAACCGACTAACTAGCTGACCGAAAAGAGAAAACTAGTTACACAGCCATGCTGTGAAACTGACACTTTGCATTACTTTGGGATATAAATTTATATTACCACAGGACCCACACAGACCACAGATGAGCACCCCCAGCTGGCCTCACTAACACCACTTCCAGCAGCAACCTAGCTTTCCCATGTGGTCTCCCTTCTAGGTACCTACTGGCCAAAGCCCTTAGCTTAGCTTCAGTGGATGAACATATGAAAGTTGCAGAGAGCTAGCTGCTGGCATTTGAATTGGCAATTTAAATTGATAGACTAGTCATCAATTAGACTGAATGAATGGTTACATATCTGAAGTCTTTCTAATATGTCTATTTAATGACTACTTAGTCTATTTTTAGACTATTGTTAGACATCTATTAGATTTTACTGACAGGCCAAATTCAAAATAAATTACTAATAAAATCAGTCTGCAGCTACGGGACTTCATCGAGATTTCTTGTCACTGAATTGAAATTCAAATTTGTTGATATGCATTTGTTTGATCATTCAACAATTAATCATTGGTTTTGCTATTTCAGACATTTTAGACAAAAACTGATGCTGCAATGCACAGTTGAAATCAGAATTATTAAAACCCCTTTGATTTTTTTTTCCTTTTTAAAAATTTCCCAAAGGATGTTTAACAGAGCAAGGAAATTTTCACAGTATGTCTGATAGTATTTTTTCTTCTGCAGAAAGTCTTATTTCTTTTATTTCGGGTAGAGTAAAAGCAGTTTTTATATTTTTTAAACCATTTTAAGGTAAAAACTATTAGCCGCTTTTAGCTATATTTGTTTTCAATAGTCTACAGAACAAACTATCATTATACAATAACTTGCCTAATTACGCTAACCTGCCTATAAACCAAGATACACCTTTAAATGTCACTTTAAGCTGTATAGAAGTGTCTTGAAAAATATCTAGTCAAATATTATTTACTGTCATTGTCACCGACTCGGTCCCAGTCACTCCCCTCGCTGGCCAGCAGAGGCCGCCATCTCCGGACTTCTAGCATTACATCATCCACTTATGCTGATTGTGCACACACCTGTCCTGAATATTGTTAACGACCCACATACCCTTTATAAGCCGCACACAAACGCTCAGTCAGTGCAAAGTCTTGTTTAGCCCCGGCCAGCATTACTGAGCGTTATTTCCTGCCTGATCTCTCGTGTACACTCCAGCCTGTTTCTGACTCTGCTTCGCCTTCTGCCTGCCCACGACCCAAGCCTGATACACGGACTCTGATACTCGCTGCCTGCCCAAGACCCAAGCCTGATACACGGACTCTGATACTCGCTACCTGCCCACACTGTAAAATGTAATTAGTTGACCTTACTTAAAAAAAGTATGCAAACTCGTTGCCTCAAAAAAATTAAGCAAAGTAAACTTAAGATTAGTGAGTTAGAAAAGCTTGTTTTTTTTAAGTGTGCAGTACTATATCAAGTAGTACCACTAACACGTTTTTTTTATGTTCATGTAACTTAATAGCCATGCTTAGTGTTAACTTAATTTTTTCATTTTGTGTTGATTGCTTGATATAAATTTAACCCCACTTAGAATTACTAAATACCTACAACTTAACACTATCAGTTCTGCTCACTCATTTTTTTAAATTCACTTAAATTAAAGAAACCAATTTCCTTTAATGGGTCCTTCTTGGACCCAAACCTGGGCAGCTGGAAAATGTGGCCTTTTCTCTTCCCCATTTATCTATTTTTGCTGTTACTATGTGATAAAGGCAAACACAACACAAACATATAATTTAAAAGAACACTCACGGGTTTGATTCAGCTCCATTACAAAATTTATTCAATGCACATTCAAGTACAAAACAGCAGCTAAACAACAAAGTTGTGGTTTGATTTAACTGTATAAAATGACATGGAAAAATATATAAAAAAAAAAATAAAAACATTTCTGTGAGCTAATTGTATGCATGTCTCCCAATATTAAACAGGTAACTACAGGACGACTTCAGTGCATGCAAAATCAGTGCATTTCTGATCAAAACCGAAAGTACAACATACTTTTGTGTCCCAAAGTGAGCAGTCCAAGGATTAAACCAACACAAATAAAAACATCATTAAAAGTTTTCCCAAAACACAAATGTAAACAGGATAACCTTGCTAGGTTATTTTCTGACATTATCATCTAATAACATCTAACAACTCATTGCAACACAACATGGCACTATTTCCACCATTAGCATACCTGCATAACATGGTAGACTTTAATGGAATATTCTTTTTTTTTTTTCCATTGAGAACGTAAATAAGCGAGAACAGTTCCATGAAAGCATCAAACTTTCTCTGATAAGAGGAGAACATTAATGGCTGCAAAGCTTACAAAGTGCTATCTGACAGCCGATGGCTCTTTACTGTTCTAACCCAGAAGACTGTTCTTCAGGAGTTAACAGTTTTGGTGGGAGGTTTTTCTTTACCAGTCCAAGCATCACAGTCTGAATGAAGTTGAGTGTATTTGCCATGCATTTTGGGTATCCAAATGCAATGCATATGTAAGACCAAACAAAGGACAAACTGCCTGAGGCAAGTTTTTAACATGATCCATGAGAATACCTCCCTCCAGAATGATGGCAGTGGAGATGGGCTGGAGGTCCACTGAGCTTTGACCCTCGTGAGGACTACAGTGATGCATTCTAGGGCCTCGTCTCTCTCTGTATCCTAAAAGACACACATTCTTCAGCATTGCAATTTATGCTATTCTAAAACAATCTTTTTTTAGTGTTGTAATGTTATCAGAGAATATGGTTTTAAAAATGTTTTCACACTGGATTGTAACAATAAAGCAAACAAAATATATTTGTTATGGTTAAACTAAAGCTAAAAAGGTCTATACATCCTCAAAGAGTGACACTGACTTTTCAACCTACAAAATACATCAATCACTGTACAAAATGTATATTGTATATTGAGCAGATAGAATTACATCTATGTCAACGCAGGTATAGTTTTATGTTCATGCAGACTGTAGGATTACAAATTTAAGAATATGTTTAAGATCTATGGAAGACATTTTCTGCCAAATTTAAGTAATTAAATGACTAAAATGAAAATTAAAACCAGATTAACGATTTCATTAGAGAAAACTGTATGCAAAATGTGTGACAAAATTGACAATGAAATGATTTCATTCTCATGGTGACAGTGCATCATCCCTGTCAAATTGAAAAATATAATGCAATTGGTGATTTCACATTTCATTTTCACTACAGTCTCGAGGCAAGATAGCCAATATTAAAATGAAAAGCCAAACGTGAAAAAGAAACTACAAATAGTTTTACAAAAGCTCTTTATTAACGCTCACGCAATAATAGTGACAACTCAAATTAAAATTGTAAATTTTAGTTTTCATTTTGATTCCTCTTTTATTTTGGTAAAGTGTGTGTGTGTGTGTGTGTGTGTGTGTGTGTGTGTGTGTGTGTGTGTGTGTGTGTGTGTCTCTGAGTCTGTGTTTGAACCTGTGAGTGAGTCTTTTTGAATGTGTGAGTGTGTGTGAGCCTGTGTTTAAGTGTGTGTGTGTGTGTTTGTCTCAGTCTGTGTTTGAGTGTGTGTGAGTGTGTGTCTGTGTTTGAATCTGTGTGTGTGAGTCTTTTTGAATGTGTGAGTGTGTGTGAGCGTGTCAGTAAGTTTGTGTGTGTGTGTGTGGCGTGTGTCCACCTCCAGGTTGGTGGGTGTGTGTGTGTGTAAGTGTGTAAAATTTGCAACAAGAAATCTGTGGAGCAGTCATAGAAACTGTAGCAATAGCAATGTCCTTAAGTTATCTGACACTAAGTGTTGGCAATGGAAATGTGTACTTGTCAATAAAATTATATGATATATTTAACCCTTTTGTTGTGCCTTGATCAGACTTGACTGCAGCAGCTCATGTTCTCAATAAAGAACCCTGCTGAAGAAAGAACCAAGTCTCCTTGTCTTCAATTCTAAGTGTTCTACAAGACCAAACTTTTTCTTATGTGCAAGTACTTACAGAGCAGGTCTTGTAGAATTCACTGGAGTCATCACCGAGTAAAATGGGAATGCCTTTGAGGACAACAGAGCGAAGTACTGTGTCGTCTGGTGTCTAATGATACATAGAGAGAGAAAAGACCAGTTAACAGAGTAATTTGGAAGGCACAAGCAGACAGGAAATAAAATAGGTTGGTCTGGATGGTCTCATTTAGAACTTGATTGATGAACTATCACACAGATCAAAAGCAAAATAAACCTACTTACCATCCAGCTCATGTGCTGCATCAGCTCCCTGAGTTTCTGGCCAACAGTTCCCTATTTTGTTTTGAAAAGTTCAATGAAACGTGGGGCATACTGGTCCAGAGCCTCAAAGAAGTCTCCCTCAAGATTCTTACTGGCGATTCTATTAAACTCAGCAAACACCTGAAAAAGTAGAGAGGAGTGGGTAGGGATGGAGAGGTGGCAGAGGGATTAACATTCCAACAAGTGTTTGGATTTCTAGTCACACACCTTGAATTTATGTTTATTTGCATTATTTTATTGGTTGAGAACAAACATTGCTTACCTGTCTCTCTATGATATGTGCTAATTGGGTATGTCAAAGAACTCTGGCCACTGTTGTCTTAGCGATGGTGATGCTCCTACAGGCGACAGGATCTCAGTGTCTGCTGTGCTGCCCTCAGTGTCTAATGTTGTGGTGGGTGATGACAATGCTGTTAAATGGAGAGTCACAAGAGGGATGATTTTGACTGTAGCTTTTTCAGGTAAATCAGTTATTTCAGTCAAATTGCAGAGGGCATTATTGGAGTCTTGATCTTCATACTGCAGTTTAAAGTCATACTGCAGTGACAGTTTATCCACCAGTTGCACTTTGAATTCTTCAATGGACTGTGGTCTCTTAATTAAAGTCAACTTACTTATATCATCTTCTGCGATGATGACTCTCAGTAACAACCTCTGGTCCATTTTGATAACTGTTTGAAAATCTGAAAAGAAAGAAAAGATAATTTTAGCATCAAGCCTAGCAACATAAAAAGACAAAAACACTCAAATGCAGTATCAGATTTGAAATACCAGAGCTATAGGAAAAACTAAATCCTTGCAAAAATCTAATTATCAAGCTTTTAATCAATGAACTTCTTTAAGACAAGTGAATACAGCAGTACAAAAAGTAAATGGTAAATGACTCGCTTATGTGGTTAGACATCAAGGGAACTGTTGTCCTGGGTATGATGGACTATAAATCGAACCCACAGTATCTATAGAGACAGTCCAGAAATACTAATTACATCAAATATTTGAAATTCAAAATATGCATAAAATATTCTGTATGATGAAATATACTATAATGAAATAATTTCAACACAAGATTTTCTTAGCTTTTGTTGTAATCCAATTGCTCTGATGTAAGCATAACTTTTACTTTAGCATGCAATAATAATACAGTTATTAGTTAAAAATACCTTTTATTGCTGGGATTATGGAATGTGTGGATTGATCACCATATGCTTGTGCCTGGAAGGAAACTGTTAAATAAAAATACAACAATTTAGCACAACCAAGTACATGTGAAAGCTGTAACATAGGCCTATAACCCACAATGACAGCTCCCAGTATTAAAATGAACATATTATGTACAAGATGACCTTAAAGAATAATGTAAGGCACTGAGTATGCCAGCAAATATGTTCCCTATCATAGCAGACTATGATAAACTGAGTGTAAAGATCTTTTCAGACAGGTAAACACTCTTGTCTGTAACGAACCAAGACTGATCTGGGTAGTGGGCACTATGGTAAACATGGAAACAGCACAGCTACGAATATTGACTATGAAGTGCGACGTGTTAAATAAAATAACATTAAGTTAGTTGACTGTGGTGATATCCCCAATCATATGTCGACACAGAGTGGTAACGTTAATCCTGTTTTTGATAAGCACACCCAGATAGCAAAATATACTCGGGCCAGTTCCGGCTAGATTGTCGCCTGCCGGAGACTAACCCCTCGGCCCAACTTCGGCTGCCGGACTCGGGCCGGATGCCTGTGGACTCACTGCCCGATTCCGGCCCGAATCAAGCGGGCCAGATGCGGCGGCCGTAAGCGAGCCGACGCTGCGCATCCGCGCCGGAATCGGCGCGAGGGTAATGTGCGCTGCGGCCCGGAGCTGGCGCGACTCCGTATTTATACACCTTATAAAACCTTTTGGTATTACATTGGTACTTGATATATGGTATTACAACCATTTGAATTTATATAACAGCAAACACAGGCTATAATGTAAACACAAAGTGTAAGCACTGCGTTTAACCTTTGAATAAAGTGCAAACTGCATACATATTCTGTAACGAAAATAATCAAGACAAATGACAAAATAAATAAATGTTAAACGTTTATTGATTGCATGAAAAAAATAGTACTAAAATTTTATAAATAATTTTGTAGTGCACAAGAATATCAATATAAAAACAACAATAAAACAACACAATAAAGACACACAGAAAGATTTAAACAAAAAAAATCTAAAAATTACACACAAACACAGATGTTTTTTAAAACAACCCTGTTTTCCCAATAGACTTGAATTAAAAATTTGTAAAAAACAGCTAAATTTTATATAAACCTAAATATAGAAACCAATTTAAGATATAGCAAGAAACATCTTAAAAATACCAATGACAATCCGTAAAATATCCAAGTCAAACTTGTAAAAAGTACTGCAGAATTCTGAAGAAACATCTTGAAACATTTTTTAATAAAACATTAAAATAATAATAAACAAATATATATATAAATAATTGCAGAACAAAATCAATTGCACAAACAGCAAGACATGAGTGAGATGATTATAAATTTCATATATATACACGTCTTGTGCAATTTTATATTTATAATTTTATTTGTATTACGTTTATTAAAAATGTATCAAGATGTTTCTTTACAATTTGGCGCACACACATACATACATACATACCATACATATATATACACACACACACATATATATATATACATATACATATATATATATATATAAATGCAAATGAAAGAAACAAATTGTTCAAGTATCAGGGAACATCCTAATACACTTAAAATGTTGTTTAAAAATTAAAACAAAATAGTGATGTAGACATTTGACACATTAGCTTTCTCTTCTTTCTTCCTCCATCCCTGTCAGGGGCAAGTTGTAGCTACCTTGTAATGCATTTTTCCACTTCTTTATCAGTGGCGTGGTATGGACATTTGTCCTCACTCCATCTGTGATTAAAAGATAAACAGATAATTAGTAGTGAACAAGTACTAATGTAAAAAAAAAAAAGAAAAAATTAGGAAAAAAGTAGGCTACCTACGAAGCAAAAAAAAAAACTATAAAAAAACAAATAAACTTAAAACACTTTGAAATTAGCAAGAGCTTGAACTTACCAGTTTCTTCATTTGTTCGGGCTGCTCCTTTAGTTGATTTTCAAGCTTTTCCAAATCCAATTGGCCAAAGGAAGGTCAAATGTGTTTACATCTGGAATTTCATCACGTCTGTTTTGGTTTTGTGAGAATCAGGCCCAGCTGCTGCTTTATGACGTTGCATGATTTTAAAACTTCAGTCAGTCGTGCTAAAAAAGAAAAATAACAGATTAGTATAAATCAACCTGTAGCTTATTCTCATAAAACTTCTGTAAATACAACAGTGGGTTAGACACTGCTGATATTCTCTAGTTGATCTTTACTTTCTAGCTGCATTAAACCTTAACAAATTTAGTGATGTCTTACAAAAACATCACGAGATGCAATAAGTTCTGTCTTGATCTCAAACTGCACTAGAACAAAGACTGTAAATGTTCATAGGTGTACTGCAGGAGTGTCCAAACTTTTTGGGCCGAGGGCCAGATGCAAAAAAACAAACGTTGTCGCGGGCCAAATTTTACATACATCACACAGACATATATATATGTCTGATATGACATGATATATATATACATGATATATATATATGACATGATATATATATACAGTTGAAGTCAGAATTGTTAGCCCCCCTAAATTATTAGCCACCGTTTATTTTTTCCCCAATTTCTGTTTAACGGAGAGTTAAAACATTTTTTCCACACATTTCTAAACATATTAGTTTTAGTAACTCATTTCTAATAACTGATTTATTTTATCTTTGCCATGATGACAGTAAATAATATTTGACTAGATATTTTTAAGACACTTCTATACAGCTTAAAGTGACATTTAAAGGCTTAACTAGGTTAATCAAGTTAACTAGTCAAGTTAAAGTAATTAGGCAAGTTATTTTATAACAATGGTTTGTTCTGAAGACTTAAGGGGCTAATAATTTTGACCTTAAAATGGTTCATAAAAAAAATTAAACCGCTTTTTATTCTAGCCGAAATAAAACATAAGTCTTTCTCCAAAAGAAAAAATATTATCAGACATACTGTAAAAATGTTCTTGCTCTGTTAAACATCATTTGGGAAATATTTAAAAAAGAAGAAATAAATCAATGAGGGGCTAATAATTCAGACTTCAACTGTGTGTAGATAGATAGACAGACAGACAGACAGATAGATAGATAGATCATAACAAGAACTGCTGCTTAATTGAATGCATGTAATAGCGACACCCGGTGGTTATTTATTGAATTACGTTAATTTTTGTATAGCGGGCCAGATTCTATTGATATTTATAAAAAGCCTCGCGGGCCGTAGATGGCCCGCGGGCCGTAGTTTGGACACGCCTGGTGTACTGGAATGTACAGTATCTGTGCATCTTCATGGTGGTCTTAAGACTTCTGCCATAGTCATTGATGGTGATGTGACTTGTGGTGCTGCATTGATTTCTGAAATCTTCATACCTGCCTTTTATCCAGCCTCTTTGTTCCAAGTAATTTTTCTTCATCACGGTATAGATGTGTCTATACTGTCCCTTAATCAGATACATTTACAAAACAAAACATCACTTTAGTATAGTGCCAGGGCAAAACTCACAGGTTGTAATAGATCAATGACATAATGTTGACAGTATGTGTTTAAAATAATTGCAAACAAACCTGTTCTGTCTTTAGATGTATGACAGGCGATCATCATCCTCATCTGTCTACCAGTCAGAAATCACAGTTGCGTGTGGATGTTTGAGTCGAGCTTCCTCATATGCATCTATAATAAAACATCACATTGTTGTTAACCTCCCGTAAAGAAAAGTTCAAACCCTGAAATACTATCAAAGTTAATTAATGCATATAATACCTATAGTGTAAATAATCAGTACACAGAAGGTTGCACAAGATTTATTCGGAGATTCATGCAGAGTGACAGCCTTATGAATCTGAGACATAGATTTGTAAGATGGTCAAGCACATGCATTATTCTGTACCCATGAAGATTAACCTACCATTGTGAAAAATGTTTGATGATGATAGCCAATAACAATAAACCATTTCAGCTGTTTGTGAAGCAATTAGTAATGTAATGTCTGAAAAGCTCAATCTATGTTGAAAATGTATCAGCAGTTTACAGCTTATAATGGACTTTTAGCACACAACTATAGCATGCCTATTCACGTTCAAAAGAGTGTGCCATTGACTTCTTTGGTCGTGATGTGCTGCAAAATGATCTCACTAACCTTTGTTAAACAAGAACAATGAGACTTAACCAACAAATATTGTTATCTATTCATTTAAATCAGAATTTATCACTGTCAATAACATAAAAAAAAAACATCAAAATCTGCTTTAAGACGTTCAGTTTTACATTAACTGACCATTACAGCTTGAACAAAAGATATAATTGATTCACATAGGCTAACACATATGAATTAAAGTGCATAGTAATATATTTCTCTCGGATAATTTAAAGAGAATAGTAAACAGTCGAGTTTCGATCATTTTCGTGACTAACTGCATAAACAAGATAAACAATAATATTTTATTAATCCAAAACGATTCGTTTTTATTTACACATAATCACAGAATTAATACTGTTGGAGAAGTATACGCCTGTACAATGATTTTTTCAACATCCACGGTACTTTATAATGTTAAATCAGGAAAAAAACACGTTTTGCCAAGTTAGTTAATGGATTCGTCTACAGAAACTTTCTTTAACGCAAAGTTAGCATACACACAAATTCGTTTCATGTTTCTTTAAAATAATTAAAATAGTTTTCAGTTACTACACACGTTACAATCTAACATTGTGTAAAAGAAAAAGGAACTTTCAGACGTGTTTGTAACTGTTAGCGTTAGCATACATTAGCTCCAGTCGTGTTTCTTAAAGCAAGTTACATTTCGTATCAAACTGTTTTAAATTACTAAACGCTGTTACAACCAAACACCGTGGAAATGTTTTAAGCTCTAAATTCGCTAATTATACAGAACACAAGCAGTAAAAAGCTTACCTTTCTGACCGGACTCCACGTGAAATGTTTGAAAAACCAACCCTTTTCTTCTTGTGATCTTCGTGCCATGGTGGTTGACAACCAGCTTTTTGGAGCATTACCGCCACCGTCTGGATTGGAGTTTGGATCAGGAATTTAGTAACGCATGTGTTTATTATGAAACCAACTTCTGCTTTAAAAAAAAAACAGTCAGCACAGGAGCGTGCTATCTCAAAAATAAGCGAATTTTACATAGTTTTTCTCTAGATGACATGTATAATCTATTTATAAATAATATTGTTTTGTTTGCGTCTAAACATTGCGACCATCCACACTAAATATTCTTTTTTTTTGCTATCGTACCATTAATATTTTCTCAAATTATCATTAAACGTGGAGCTAACAGATTACTAGATAAAATAAGAACTTAATCGGTTGCCATCAGCCGAGTCCTTGCCAGAAGCGGCCAGGATATGGTTGACCGGAATCGGGCCAGTGCTTTACAGCCGCATCACAACCGCATGTGCGCGAGCGAGCTGCGGGCCGCACTCGGCCCGGATAACACTCGCCGATGCCGAGTCGGAGCCGGAGGCGCCGAGGGGCAGCCGAGCTCGGGCCGATTACTGCCTGCTATCTGGGCAGACTGTTATTGTTGGTAGCTAAAATTAGCATAGTCTTTACAGACAATTTTAAAATAAAATTATACATCCAGACTTGTTCTGATGTTCTGCCTGAGCTTACAAACAACAGTTATAAAACTCAGGAAACTCCCAAACCGCCGGGATCAGTCTGTCATCATCATGCTAGCTGCTAGTCAGTACTCGATGACAAATGTTACTGACATATGCTGACATGGCAGGTGGGCGCGAGCGACAGTTAACGTTACTGCTACACTAAAGTTTTTCCTCAATTTTAACGTGACAAAAGTCTTGAAAATAATAAAGTATTGACCAAGTTTCATCAAAATATAGTCACGTTATGTCCATAATAAAGTTAGCTAGCGTTAGCCGACATTACTACACACATCATTACTAGCAGGCACAAAACACTGGCGCTGACACAGAAACAAAACGATCTGCGCAAGGGTAAATTAAAATATTTACTCACCAAATGAGTGTGCCAAGCACAAGAATCGCTGTTATGCTGACGATAATCACAAGTGCCGTTGAAGCGATGTTTAGGTCCAGCTCAATGATATCCAGCTTCATCTACCGTTTGCAAAATTACGAATCCCGCCACGCCAAGACCCGCCTTACGAAGCAGCTTGATTGGTTGGGGATGATTGATTGATCTGCGCATGCCCACAGTGTCATAAACTTACTTTTTCTAAATTAATCCAGCTCAAGCAGACTGAGCTGGTAAGATTTTTCAACCTCAAAGTACAAGTAACTTACTAAAAGTGAGTGTTAATAGCAGGTTGATAAAAATTGATTAAGGTCAATTTAATATTTTTAATTAAATACCATGTTTGCTTTTACAGTGCAGGACCCAAGCCTGATACATGGACTCTGATTCATGCAGCCTGCCTTTAACCCATGTCTGGTAAATCCCTCTGTCTGTTTACCACCAGTCTTGATACCTTTAAGACGTTTGTTGATGTGTGTTTGCACATTGGTGCATATTGTGTGTTTGAGTGAGAGCTTGATAAATAAATACTGCATAATGGATCCCTCCGTGTCAGTCTCCTCGTTACAGTCATCATTACAAAGATGAAATAAATCAGTTATTAGAAAAGAGTTATTAAAACTATGTTTAGAAATGTATTGAGAAAAATCTTCTCTCCGTTAAACAGAAATTGTGGAAAAATAAACAGGGGCTAATAATTCAGGGGAGTTAATAATTCTGACTTCAATTGTGTATATAATCCTAAAATTAAAGTGTTTTAACTTTTTTTAAATTAATATAAATCTACAGGAGGAGACCTCTGAAACCAAAATCTGCAATTTTTTAAAAAAGTAGAATAGTGGCAGATTAACTCATTTAACAGACTTTTATCAACAACAACTTAAGTACACGGTTCAAGGACACTATAGGGTGATTAATTCATGAATTGTCTATTGCAGAGTTTGAGCAGGCAACTTTTGATTTTTATAATAAACTAAACTAGAACAAAAAAATTACCATGGTATTTCATGAGAAGAGGAGAACGAGAGCCTGTCAGTATCACAGGAGGGCCGATAATGACCTGATGATGGGACGATATCAGTGGCTGCCGCGTGTGTCTGTGGATCATACCTGCAGCACAACAAAACACCACAATAAAACTGATGACTGATTGCACGTCAGGTCTATCATACCATAAAGGTGGGACATAAAAACAAATCCTCCAACTGCTCCAATTGTTGGTCAATGTGTTTTTTTTAAAAGTACTTGTTTCCTTGTAAAGGTTTAATTAAGACTTTATCTCTATCCCTCATGCACCCAGTGATCCTGTCATAAAATAAATGACAGGAAACAAGAGACTTGGGACGCAGCAGACACATGCTAATCAGTAAGGTCTGAAATCCGGATCTATTGAGTAACAGGCAGCGTGGAGGCCATAAACAATGTTGCATGCATGCTGGATCTGAAGAGACACGTTAACCAATTCCAAGAAAGTACAGCCCGTTTGGAAATTGCAGAAGGTTGTGATGACCAGATACACAATCAGAAATTATTCATGTTGTAAATGTACTGTAGCTTTGGAAATAAGGCAAATCAGGGCATTCACTCTACATCTACTCTGTTACACAATGGTTATCTATCTATCTATCTATCTATCTATCTATCTATCTATCTATCTATCTATCTATCTATCTATCTATCTATCTATCTATCTATCTATCTATCTATCTATCTATCTATCCATGTCTATCTGTCTATATATCTATCTGTCTGTCTGTCTGTCTGTCTATCAAGATATATATATATATATATATATATATAGATGTAAAGAAATATTATTGTTTTCAAAAAACTAATACAAATTACACAAATACAATTAAAATGTTTTACATATTATTATGTAATTAATATGTTATTAATTAATATGTAATTAAAATATGTAATATTTTAATGTAATTAATGTGCAGTCACCATATTCTGCACTGCCGTGTGCTATGAAGAGGTAGTAGCTGTTGTTCAGACTGAAGCGCTCCGGGTCCTGTGGGGTGTAGATGGATCGGGAGAACTTGCACTGAATGATCCCATCTGAAACTCTCCAGCCTACATCCATCAGCACCGACTGCAGAGGAAGTGAACATCATAATCATTACATTTACAACTGACACTGCATAACGGTAGGACACGCTGTCATCCTGTTGGACTATAATGATTTTATGGGTTTAAAATTATGTTATGACAACATATTGCAATACTGAAAGGTGAAAAAGAATCATCATCACAAATATTTGAAGTGCTATCTTACCTGCGATGACACCTTTGGATATGTCCTGCCTGTAGTGTAAGCTGCTTCCACACTCACTCGACCACCGTCATATACACACAAATATACATCATCATCACCCTGGTGAAAAATAAAAAAAAAATCATAAGGGTCACATTATAGTTTTTCTCAGTGGCTTTGGTGCATTTCTCACTACACTATTTACATTTGCAAAACAGTTAATGCATTTCTCTAAACAATTAGTACAAACTGAAAAAGCTAGCTGATACCCTGTAAAAGTGCGTCACTTGCTCAAAATGGATAGCATATTGCCCAAAAGCAAGTATTGATGTCAATGAAAGCGTCAGTATGATCAAGATGAAAAGTCCTGACACTATTGTTTATGAAAAAGATAGTCAAATGGCTTTGTCATGTTTTCATCACGACAGTTTACTCTGTACATTTTTTCCAATGCAATAAAGTCAGAATTTGGTGACACGTCCTGAAAATTCTCATGACAGCACTATTTACTATTTGCACAGCCATTTGAAAACTACAGTAAAGTTAGACATCACACTATAAGGTGAGGTATCTGAGTACAATACACTGAATATACGTATATGTTTCACATTTTTACTGCATTTACTCTTTGCAATTCTAATTTATTCACAGCATTGTGCAAAAGAATAAATACAGCCTTATGTACAACAAACATAGACTTCCTTTGGGTAGAGCTGTGCAAAACTGGAAACAATATTACAGTACATATTGCAACTGAACCAACACACATACTGTAGGTCTGTAAATCATTCATAAAATTAACGTTTTCAGGAAAGAAAAAAAATTAAACATTTTTCTAAAATTTACATTTACAGTCGCTTTTGTGCATTTTTCACAACACTAATTACATTTGCACAACAGTTAATGCATTTCTCAAAACATTTAGTCATTCCACACATCATAGTAGCAGTTTCTCATTCCTTCCAACAAATTGCAAATGCTTTTGGACATGCATCAATTGCTTTCACACAACTCTCTGTTATACTGTATGACTCTCTCTGTGTATAGCATTATCATTTGCTTATGTCATGTCAGTCAAAATCAACTAAACTTGTGAATGCTGAATAGTCATCACATACAAAACTAATAGTCCTCATTTCATTACTTGAGTCACGGTAATGTAACACAAATATGCCTAAAGGTCTAGAAATATCTAAAATGTCACATAGCAGTTTTCTACATTATAGTTGATTTAGTTTAATTTAAGCAAAATTTCATTCAACAAAGGTCTATAAAAGACTGTAAAATAGCTGTCCTTTTAAATATTTAAACTTTGCTATATTTGAAACCAGTATGTACACCCAATTTTTAAAATAATTTTAAATCATTTAAATTTAAGTATGATCACATACTCTTGTATATATTGAAATAAGCACAGGATATAATACATGTTTTCTAATGGTTCAGTCAAAATGCAAGTTTTGAAGTTAAAAACAGCTGATTATTTTAATAAAGAAGACCTATTGTATAAATTATTAACAGCACAACAATACAGAATGTAGAACTTTTTAAGGGGGTGATTAATGTCTAATGACAGAAGTACTCTCACTGTCTCAGTAGTCATTTTCTGACATTTTCTTCCTGTATTAACATCATGTGTGTGTGTGTAACATTATAATCACATTTAATTTCACTCAAAACCTCACATTTGTGTTATTAATTATTTTAAATTGAATTATTTCAATTATATATATACATATATATTATTATTATATATTTAAAATGAATTTTTCTTGATGTCATGTTTCTACAGTAAAGAAGCAATCTGAGAACAGTAAAACCCAATAAATAAAGAGAACTCAAACCAACTGAGTACTGTAAAACCCAATAAATTAAGGCAACTCAAACCATTTAAGTAAATTAGTTGCTGCAAACCAGTTTTTATGTATTTAATGAACCCATTATCATGAGTTCAAAACTCTTCACAAATGATTAGAATGAACTTTCAGTAAATTTTGAGTTCACTTCACTCATTTCATTTGATAAAGTTAACTTTTACAGTGCAGTTAAACTTTATTGTTGCATGTGGGGTTTATTCATGGCACCAATGATTTCTCAGATGTATTTTATATACGTGTTATGTTGTTATTTTGGATTTGTCAAATCTATTACATTGCAAAAAAATAAAATAAATAATAATTAAAAAATAATAATAATAATATTGTTGGCGTAATCATATGCGGTTTATTTAAAAATAGTAATTTGAAGCATGTGTGGCAGAAGAGAGTGCAATCAATGCTGAAATTGTTGAAGAAGGTCATGTTTACTCTTTTCTTAATTAGTTTTTTATTCATTCGAGTAATGAAGAGTAATACAGTATATCTCTTTTCCATCTATTACACTGCACAAAATGTTTTTACTTTGATTTTATGTCTTCTTTCTAGTCCGAAAATCGAAGAAAAAAAATATCTTAAACGAAGAAACATTTTCTAGACAAGCAAAAAATATTAATAAATATATTTCTAAAAAATTAAATTTTCTTAAAACAAGCAAAATAATCTGCCAATGTGGTTAGCAAAGTAATATTACGTCAAAACAAAAAGCATGATTACTTTGCACACCTTATTGGCAGATTATTTTATATAATATATATCATGTACAAAACAGTAAATATAGTTGTAGATATTGTCATGACATACAACTTTTTGTTATGCTTACCATCCATTTATCACTAGACAGAGCGAAGGAGACATATCCCTGTGCAGGTCCACTGAGCTCAAATGAAACCGTCTGCCCCGAAGTAGAATAAGCGAGGTAAAAGCAGTTTGTGTCTACAGAAGGGTTACAGCCGACAGGGTCAAGGAGACAAGTCTTCTGCCTGCCACATCCATCTGAGCTGAACTGTAAGAGAAGCACTTATTAATAAATGGCAGCTTGTGAAAGATGGGTAGTTTGTATTTTGCCACATACTGGCTGAGGTATTATAGAGGTGCTGGAAGAGTGTGTAGACATGACAGTGGTGGACTGAGGTGGAGCAGGAGTCGCATCACCATGAGTTATCACAGGACCACGAAGTTTGAGCCAGAAAACTTTGTAGTGAGCAAGAACTGTGGCGCTTAAAGGGAAAATACAAACAGAAAGGCATATTATTAGTTTGAAAAAAGCCTATGTACATCCAGTAAAACATTTTGATGGTTTCAGTATTGAAAGACTCACAGAAACTGAACAGCAAGAGGAGAATTGGATGGAGCTTTCCAGATCACCTCAATTTCTCTCTTTTTGACATCACTTGTGTGACTAACAGCAGAACCCTATGAAGATCAAGTTAATAGCACATGAAACATTTTTTATTATTTATATTTTATATATAAAAAGCCAATTTCCTCTTAAGTATTTGCACTCAGTATCAGGTCCTTTCCATATCAGATACATCTTTTGATTTGATGCAGTATGAGTAAATGTTGAAATTCATTTGAATTATTAAATCCTTTATAAATATTGCCCATTGTCAATTCATGCACTGTAAAATATGGTTGCTGCCCTAAATTTTCAGCTACTTTAAATTTAACTTTAATGGTCATTTCAACACACACTACATGAAATTTATTTTAAACAAAAAGTTAAACTTCTTTAAACAAAAATTAAATCATGTTTTGCATTGCAAAGAACATTTTAATTAAGTTAAGTTTAATTAAAACAAAAACAAATGTTGTCACGACATATTAATCCCATAATTTGCACAGTGTTTTAGCTATCATGCTTTAATAGAACTGGAATGGAAAGTGTTACCAATATTTTTTTTTGTGAAACATTTTTATATCTGATGTTTATTTTGATATTTTTCATATTTTTACATATATAGTGCTTGGCATATATGAGTACATCCCTCACAAATGTCTCATTGAGATTTTATAGGAAGCTTTACAATATTATGTTGTGCATGATATGCAGTAGATTAGTCAGTACTGAAGCCAAACGTGGAGCAAAAATCCAAAAACTAGTAGCTCAAGTTTATATGTTTGGGAAAATATTAAATAAAAATATTAAAAACACCAAAAATCAAAAGTAATAAAAATATATTAAAAAATGTTAATTTTTTGTTAATATAAATGTAAAAATAGATTTTGTAGTTTGTAATTTTTATTGCAATATTTGACATTTGTCATCTTATTTGGTTACTAAATATTATTTAAATAAATATATCAATTAATAAGTCTGTTTTGTTCAAACGCACCAAAATACCACTGAGAAATGTATTTATGAAAATTAATTTTCAAAATGGGATGCATTCATTTATGCTTAGCACTGTATATACAGTTGAAGTCAGAATTATTACCCCAAGTTATTGGATAACGATGGTTTGTTCTGTAGACTATCGAAAAAAATATATAGCTTAAAGGAGATAATAATATTGACCTTAAAATGATTTTTTTTAAATAAAACTGCTTTTATTCTAGCCAAAATTAAACAAATAAGACTTTCTTAAGAAGAAAGTAATAGTATCCGACATACTGTGAAAATTTCCTTAAACATCAAGTTAGAAATATTTAAATAGGAAAAAAATTTAAAGGGTGGCTAATAGTTCTGACTTTAACTGTATTTATTTATACAGTATAACAATTAATGCATATGAGTGTTTACCCCACCTCTATACCGTTGCATGTCAATCGCTGAGAAATCTTCAGATTGACCAGTGTGAAAGATCCGATAGCTAATCCATCAAGGTTAGTGGCATCTCTGGCCTGAATTAGAAAGCCCTCAAAAGGCTCACTTCCAGAGAGAGTGACTATAGAAAATGATGTATCAATAAATAAAGACAATTGGCAAAGGGTAGCAAAACCATATTTCAGTAACAAATGACAAAATTACCTCTGATGTTGTCCCCTGGGCTGAATTTACTGGCATTCACAGTCAGTGTGTATGGACTGGCTGTTGTGTTGGGCTGGCTGTGATGTTCTGGCATCATGCTTTCACAAGCTTTCTGCACCTTTCCATTTTTGTACCCATTTATAACAGTAAAACATAAAGCCGCAAGAATCACCAGAGCTGTTTGTAGGGTACACATTTCCAGCAAAAGTAAGGCAATGTGGAGAGATCCTGAAAATGACATTGATTTGAGTCCTTGATCATCACTAAAAATGTAATTGCATTTAGTAATACTTTTTACATTTAGCAACTGATTTATTTTAATATTTCTTTTAAATGCACCACTGTTGAACTATAGGTACTGGTATTTATTTTTCCATTAAGAGAAGTTAAAATTCATGAAAACATTTCCATTCTACAAAATTGAATCTATCCATTATTATAATATTTTCACTCTATGAATAAATAATGTTCTTTTAACAATTGTTCACTGAAAGAATATTTGATGATGCACAAAAATATATATTTTATGGCATTCTTTTTTTTCTTTTTTTTTTGGAGGGGGGAAGATGGGGTTGGCTTATGTTTGTACATTTTTAATAGGCTAGACATATTTCTAACCAATTTAATATAGTCTACATTGCACCAGTGTTTCTTAACCATGTTCTTGTAGGACCACCGACACTACATGTTTTGGATGTCTCCTTTGTCTGTCACACCTATTACAGGTCTTTCAGTCTTTGTTAATGAGCTGATGAACAGAATCAGGTGTGTTTGGCTAAGGAAGGAGACATGGAAAATATGCAGAGCTGGTGGTCCTCCATGAACGTGGTTGAGAAACACTGTATTACATCATCTATTGTTTAACAAACAAAACAATGTGTAAGAGCAACTCCATGCAAATTTCAACCTTGACATGAAAAAAAATTATGTTTTCGTCAAAATATCCATTTCTGCATTTGTTTGTGTAAGCAAGTATTTAACAGTGCTTTAAAAATACTCAAAAATGTCTCTATTAATGTTTTCAAACTATTATATTTGATTTACCAAAATCAAGCAAGTGCCAGTTTTACAAATGTAACATCCATATAAGAGATGTTGCATGCATAACGAAACTTTTTCCAGAAAATGTCAAATAAAATTACATCTATTGTTTTTGTTCTATATTGTGCCAACTCTTATCCTTTTGATTAGCATGGTGTTTTGGGGTTGTGCAGTTTAATTCATACAATTTCTACAAAATATGTGGCTTATTTTTTTCGTTGCATCCATAAAGCATTTTATTTTCATTCATCTTCTTCTTCTTCGGCTTAGTCCCTTTATTAATCTGGGGTCGCCACAGCGGAATGAACCACCAACTTATCCAGCACTTGTTTTACGCACCAGATACCCTTCCAGCTGCAACACATCTCTGGGAAACATCCATACACACTCATACCCATTTCACCTGTACACCATGTCTTTGGACTGTGGGGGAAACCGGAGCACCCGGAGGAAACCCACGAACACAGGGAGAACATGCAAACTCCACACAAAAATGCCAACTGAACCAGCCGAGGCTCAAACCAGCCACCTTCTTGCTGTGAGGCAACAGCACTACCTACTACGCCACTGCATCGCCCCGCATTTTATTTTCCTCATTTAATATATAAAAAAATGTTTATAGATTGATATTTTTTCTGATCTCTGTGGTCAGTTGTTTTGGAAAATATAAACAGATGTCCCAGTACAATGTTATACCTTCTCTGTGAATTTATGTTTTGAGATTTTACTGCAAATGTCACATCCATAATGCTGGAATTGCTTGTATCGTCTCTTTTAATGTACATATTATAATAGCAAAGTCAATGAAGGTTTAAGAAATTCAAAAGAAAGCCCTGCTCTTACCTTGTCAGCAACCTGTCTGCTCAGGTAATGCTGGAAGATAATAATTTATAGTGTACGTGAATGGGCGGATCATGACACGTTTGAAGACTGAAAGCCTTCCACCACACGATGGAGACAAATTCTGAAACAGTCTAGGAAGTTTGTTTTGTTTTCATACATACAATGGGTTGTTCAAATAACATAGCACGAGAAGTGAAAATTTCAACGTTTAATCACCTAATTTTCATAATCATACACTGACTACCTAAAAATATTTCATGAAAATTGGTGCCTCGTATTAGTGTATTTACGGTAGGGGGAAGCGAATTACAGACGTGCACAAACACACACGCCTCCTTCATACTGGTCAGCGACAGGAACGTCCTTACAAAGCCGAAAACAGGAGAAATATACCGGTGTGTTTTAACCCTCGTGCTTTTCAACACTGTAGTGTCGTGCAAAAATGATCGAATTGTTTATATCCGCTGAGATTCTGGATTGTCGTGCACCAGAAGAGGTCATTATGCATGCACTAATGTGTGTCGGCTTGCTGACCTATTCATTTAAAATAGCCTAGCTTGGCCTTTATGGGCTAGATTCTTAACCTCGAGTAGTCTGAGTTAGAGGATACTTTTTTGGCCGCGACTTTAAATACCAGTCATGTTTACTAGTGATGATGGGATGTCCGACTCATTTTCGACAGGCGGTTCTTTTGAACTGTTTGTTTTAAAGGAATCGATTCAATTATTCATTTTAGCTCTTAGTGTAAGTACTGCATAAGTGCTGTAGTGTAGACAACTGCTATGGATGTTTAAATTAAGTGTGTCAATGATGTTGTGATTCAGTTTGTTGCAGATATGATTTGCCTAAACAGTTGCGAATACTCAAATTTACAAAATAAACTGCTTATCGTGCAACTGAATGTAGTTTATTTATGAATTTCGACTCTGAAAATAGCCTAACATAGGCGAATTGTTTATTAAGTGCCAGTGTTCTCTGCGCATAACGACTCATTTCACAAGGAACTGGTTGAAGCAAATGAAGTGATTCGACTCGTATGAACGATTTGTTCATGAATCGGACAGCGCAAAAACTAGTGGTCATGGTGCATTGACCGTAGAAAGCATATACGTACGGATACTAACCTTGATAATTTTGAGGTATATTTATTCAAATCTATCTGGTAGTTTGGCGTTGTTTTGCTCACTTGTTGTGCTATGGTTTGTGGCTGTTGCATTCACTGTATCATGTTGCAATCATTTATTTTGTACAGGAAGCTGTTGCAACTCAAGATTCAGAAGCTGTAAGGCTTCTGTTCATTTAAATTAAATGCCATCTTTTGTAAAATGTGTATTTTTTCACTTTGCTTAATTTTCAGTGGAGGGGGTCCTGATGATTTTTTGCTCTCCGTTGTATTAAGGACGTGCTAAAATAAGGAGGGCATCATGACAGCTAAACAAACAAGAGTGATGGTCCTCAATGACATGGAGAAACTCGACAGGACTCTCTTCCGTCTGGACCAAGGCAAGTATTTCATCATATTTTGACCCAGTACGTTGTCCTGACAGTGTGTTGTGTGATATTTTGACCAGTCGTTTACGTGCGGAACGTTTGTGGTTATTTATAGATGCTATGGGGCTCACAGGAGCCAACTTTGTTGAATATCTTTATATCCATTCATGCACTAATAAATAGCAGAAGAGATTGGCACTGAATAATGTGATGATATTGCCCCTGCTTGCTGATAATGAATGGAATTCATGGAATAAGCAAATTAATTTTGTTTGTATTTTGTTTTGTAGAAGTCTTTGTCTCATATTATAGTATTCATATCCTCAGATGCTTTTAATCAACCAAAAGAGGTGAATAAACTTTGTCTAATTACTCATTTGAAGAGAAAAAAGTTTAGTCTAGTGGAAAATGCTTTGCTTCTGTAATCTAGTCAATTTTATATATATATATATATATATATATATATATATATATATATATATATATATATATATATATATATATATATATATATATATATATAATCATTATCATTTTTGGGTAGCATTTCCCCCCTTCTTTAAAATAATACTCTTCTAAAGTAAAAAGAACATTAATTTGAAGTAGCATGTCAATGCCATGGTGTAATTATTTCTAATTAATCATTACTGTGAAAGGACACAGAATATACACTATTACAGTGTTGTTATCTTTTACCACCACTGTAATATGGCTGCACTGCCAATAGCAGAGCTTTAATTGGGATACATTTATTTTATTTTTTATTCCATTTCATGAGATTTGTGGAACTTTCTAATAAGAGATTAACTGATATGACATATAGTTTTATAATATCTAACATATTCATGAGACTTCTCTAGACTTTTTACATTCATCCTATACACTAGCCAACAGTTTTTATCATCAATATGGTAAAACCTTAATAACATCTAAAACTATTTTTTTCTCTTAAAATTAACTTCATATTATAGGATAGAATCATGTCCAATATTAATCCTCTATAACAGGAATATTCAAACTGCAGGGAATTCCAAAGTTGTTTGAGGACATGTTAAAATAAATATAAAATATTGAATGAATCATTTAATAAATCAAATTAAAATAATCAAATGTTTTATTAAAAAGACATACATTTGTAATAACTGAAACAAATATATAAATCAGTCAATCAGATAATTACAAAAAATGCAATAGGCTCTATGCACAGCTTGAGTTTTAAAGCCAGTGTTTAAAGCTTCCGGTGAAAGCTTAATGTGACTTTTCAATTACACAAGGCTGTTTTTACAGCATCAATGTTGTAAAGTAAATACAATACATTCAGTTAAATAGACTTAAGCATTTATTTAGTTGTTCAAGCGTAAAACGAGATGAAAGACCGTCGTAACCACTAGCCTCAGTAGCAAAAGGCTAGCGCAGAAATTGCATTGTAAATTCTGGGGTAAAATAATATAGACATGGCGAAGGGAAATAGAATTTAATGCAGTGCTTGATGTTTGGCCTGATACCCACTTTATATCATATATCTAACAGGCTGTGAAGATGGCTGATTTTTAAAGAAATCAGATCTTAAACATGACAATTTTGTAATGGAAAAAGGCAGTTCATCAGAAGCCCAGGGGTGCCTGGCTGAAAATTAAAAGTTTGTGTGCATATAGCCCATTAAGTACATTTTATTTTAAATAAAAAATATCTAAATTAAATACTCTAAATTTTATATTA